TGCTGCTCCTGCCACTGAGGCGCCCGCTGCCACCGAGGCTCCCGCGACGGAGGCTCCTGCTGCTGAGGCCCCCCAGGAGGCTGCCGCCGAGAACACCGAGGCTGCCCCCGTCGCTGCCGCCGCTGAGGACAAGAAGGAGGATGCCGCCACTGAGCAGCCCAAGGAGGAGGCTAAGAAGGAGGAGGTGACCCCCGCCTCCGAGGGTGTGCTCGGCCACAAGGCCCCTGGTCTCGTCAAGTAAGCGCATTCAAGATGATGGATATAGCGCGAAGGTCTAGGTTACTGACGGATTTTGTTTTTTACTAGGAGCCTGCGCTTCTCCAAGCGTTTCTTCTACTTCAGCGAGGAGGCTGTCGAGGCCAAGAACCTGTCCGTCTTCCACCAGAACGAGAAGCCCGCCGTTGCCAACCCCATCGCCGCCTGGGCCAGCCAGACCGGCAAGGGTCTGCTCTTCTACACCAAGCGCGCCGAGGACAAGGCTATCCCCGCTGGTATCTTCAACTTGGTGAGTTATTCTGTCGCGCGCAAAAGGTGATGGGAGAAGGGGCTAATAGTTGATAGGCCGATGTCACCGATGTCACCAAGGAAGGTAGCAACGAGTTCTTGTTCAAAGTCAACGGACACAAGCACACTTTCCAGGCCTCGAGCGCTGCTGAGCGTGACAGCTGGATCGCCGCCCTTGAGGCTAAGACCGCTGAGGCTAAGGCCGAGAAGGAGACTGTCACCGCTAGCGAGGGCTACAAGGCCGAGCTTGAGAAGCTGAGTAAGTTTGACATATCAGGGGGTGCACGAAGCGAATGAATGCTAATAAATACCACAGCCAACCCTGGCGCCGCCGCCGCCGCCGCCGCCGCCAAGCCTGCCGACAAGCCCGCTGAGGCCAAGGAGGAGGCGAAGAAGGAGGAAGCTGCCCCCGTTGAGGAGCCCAATGACAAGGCCACCGCCAAGAGCCGCTCTCAGTCTCGCAAGAGGACTAGCCTGTTCGGAACCCTCCTCGGAAAGAAGGAGGAGGGCGAGGAGAAGAAGGAAGAAAAGAAGGAGGAGAAGGCCGAGGAGGCCAAGCCCGCCGAGGCCTCCACCGAGGCTCCCGCTGAGGCTGCTGCTCCCGCTGCCGAATCTTCTGAGGCCGCTCCTGCTACTGAGGCTCCTGCCGCCACCCCCGCTGAGGCTGACGACAAGAAGGAGGATAAGGAAGAGAAGAAGGAAGAGAAGGAGGAGAAGAGTGAGGAAAAGAAGGCCGAGAAGTCCAAGCGTACCTCTCGCTTCGGCAACTTCTTCCAGAAGGTCACCAGCCCCTCTCACGAGAAGTCTGAGAAGGAGGCCGCCTCTCCCGCCGAGACTCCTGCTGTCGCCAGCACTGCTCCTCAACTTGACAACCCCGTCGAGGATGCTGCTGTGAAGCCCATCGAGCCCGAGAGCGTCACTGCCCCTACCGAGGGCGAGGCCGCTAAGGAGGCCACCCCCGCTCAGTCCCCTGCCGCGGAGACCCCCAAGGACAAGCGCCGCACCTCTTTCTTCGGTAACTTCGGTAAGAAGAAGGGTGACTCCGACAATGAGGGCACCGATGGCGAGGCCAAGCCCAAGGGCAACAAGCTCGGAGGTCTCTTCCGCAAGCCCAGCAAGGCCGTGAAGTCTGAGGCCCCCAAGGAGGCCGAGACTGAGGCCAAGCCCGAGGCTGCCCCCAAGCAGGAGACCGTTGAGGAATCTCCCGCCGAGGAGAGCGCCCAGCCCGCTGAGACCCCTGCCACCGAGGAGAACAAGCCCGTCAACGTTTCTTCCACCGCCGCCCCCGTCCAGGCTGCTGCTTGAAATCCCACCGAGCGGATTGTTGAGTATGAGCGATGGTGGGCTTAATACTTTCATATCACCATCCTCTACTTAGATCGTCACTTGACTGACGATTGGAAACTGAAACGAAAACCCAAAAAAAAAAAAAAAAAGGATCATGCTTTGTACCTGTTGATCTGTTTTGTTTTGTCCTGTCGCTTCTTTGGTATCCTTGTAAGAGGTCTGCCGGAGAGTGTCACTGATACCCTATGTTGCTTTGGCGGTCATTTTCCGGCCTGGTGTCTCGGCATCAGACCGAATTTCATTCCTTTTATGATATCCGTTCGCGCAAGAGAGGCCTGGGTCGGTCTTGCGTGTTCATGCTGTGCGCCGTCCAAACTAGATTGATACCACTTGTTTTTTGTTCTGATTTATACTGAGCTTATGTTTTTGTTTCGCCGTTTGATGCTGCTTTTGTCTTCTGCTTTTTTGATACCCTGCTGTGGGAGGAAGGGTGATGGGGTATGGGACCCTGGTACTTCATGTTGGATCCTCCCACCACTCGGATTGACCGAACTATCGACTTCGGTGCGGTATGCTTGCGTGGTCTTGGTGTGTCTAGCATGCCGATGGTACCATAGTTTCATACCTTTTTTTCTAGCATCATAGGTAATAATTAATAGATTTGATTCTTCACACGCATTGATGTTCTACAGTAAACCCTGGTGGGTGGTATTGATGCGATTGGATCTGCATCTCTCCACTCCGACCCATGTGGATGCGGTGTGGATGGATGTCAATGGATTATGGCATGCATCTGCCATATGGGTATGGAGTATGTCTAGTCATTGACACGCACACCGCTAGGTGTACCTTATTCTTAGTCCGAGATTTCCGTTCCTGAACTGGTTCTAATTTTTACCATAACTTACGGACTAGTTCATTAAGCGTGCTACGTGCAGTCAACCTATTCAACCTCCGACTGTAAAGAAAAAGTCACTTGCGACCGTCACAAAACCGTGAGTAGGAACTATTTAATACTATCATCTATTTATTCAATTGTCAAGCAATAGACAAACTTTACTGAAATATATCGTTTGCGATCGGGCTGATGCACCCCAGGGCCGGTCAACCGCCTTCGCATAGGCAGCGTTTTAAGACATACTGCAACGTTGGTCAAATCAATCAAGTGACCGATGAAAATGCTTCATATTGATAAGACCGATCAATCGTTCAATCCTTAGTATTAATCAAGGTCCCTGTTCATTCATTTAATTATTTTTGACGACTGCGGTCCCCCAAGTGCCTAGAATCTCTACAATGTTTATTTTCGTAGGACCTACGACCAGCTGACCCGCACCGTGTTGAAGTATATATCCGGATGAAACACAACAGCAGCTCGTATTAGGAAGTTGTTTTTTGCTCACATGTCCAGAATCAACCTAGACCATGCAGATACTATAATGATATCCAATGATAACACAGTTCAATGTACGGAGTGTATACTTAGCGAGGTACATGCATGACTTAGAAATCGAAATCTTGCGGCTCTCGAACGACGATTATTAATGTGGAACTTTGAATGCCGGCTTTTCTGGCCTTGTGAATCACCACGTCATTAACCGAGACCAACGTCGCGCAGGCGGACAGAATAGTCAAGAGATCAATGGGCAATCAATTAGCCTCTGCAACTTAAATCGATCATGGGACCATTACGAGGTTATTAGTTCCTTGACTTGGCGAGTGTTATCGAATTGGATTGTTTGTTGGCTGGTAGTTAACTAGGCATTGAGAATAATTTTTTTTTTTTTTTTCATTGACGGAGGAGAAATCTTCAATCTAGGCTGAGTTGCAGACTGCAGACCGGAGTTGAGCGTCATTCTCCGGGGATAAATGATTATACTCCGTAGGACTAGGAGTAGCCCTTGCTAGGGATCGGGAGCAACCTCGACGGAAAAACCCGAGAAATGCGTCCCCATTCATTTTCATTCAGTTTCACATTCTTGAGTCCGGAGGTTATTCGGAACTAGGGGATTAGGCGCTCAATGCGCCCGCTGGTTTCATTTTCATTGCTTGTTGGTCGCCTGAAGGTTTCCTTTTCAATTTCTGATTTCACATGGGTTATTACTCTGTCGTATTGCTCTCCACTTGCAGATGCTGGCCAATTTCCATTTCCCATGCTCTATTCGAATGGCAGGAAAAACAAGATTGCGATTGCCTGGATCAACCTGCATTAATAATTTAGACCGGCCCGGTGTTCGTCATCTTATTCTTGGGCTTTGAGTCTTGAAGGGCACCACTAAGTAAACTAGAGGGTAAACCTTGGTTCCGGCGGGCTAAAGTTGGACGGCGGGCTTTTTAGGCGAAGGGGGCAGGAACCGTGGTTGGTTTCATCTGTCCGGTCGTATTCCTTTTCCACCCGCTTGAAGATGCGAAAAAAACTCTGCTTACTCGAGGATCAGGCCCTGCGGAGTAGAGTATGGAGAACTAGATAGGAGAGTCTCCGTCCGTCGTCACTGGTATTAATAATGGGAATTGGTGACGGAGGGTTTCTCGTGTCTTTTCATTTGAGGAGGGGGGAGTTGGGCCAAGGGGATTGAGGGGACCAATATACGTATGTCTGATCGGTAGGAGATGAATTCAATGGATCTGTCATTGTGGAATGTCAAGGCTTCCTGAGACGGAGGAAATGCGTGCGCAAAGAAGTGAGTTAGGGTTGTGCGTTATTATCGAGATCCCTTGGATTTTGGACCCAATCATCAATTGTCGCGCATGTCGATCCGTTGTCCTTCTGCACTCCATACTCATACTCCGTAGTCCATACTCGTCGTCCACGGTTCATGCCCATACACATGCACATTCACATTCCTCGTCGCTGGCTACTCCTTGATATGTCTGCCTGTCAATTCCGTTAGCGCAAGTAAGAGAAAAGAAAAGCAAGGACGGATGGCACGGAAGGCAGCCTTGCCCGAACGGGTTTGAGGCCGCGCCCTTCGAGGACACCAACGCCGGCGGGATTAGTCATCCGCCCACTTGCGGCTCCTCCATGCGCCTTCCCCGACACTCCCAAAACAGTCCCCGACAGAGGCTGTGCGTCAGCCGCCGGCTGGCGACATGCAGGTTATTGGACAATGGCTAGGCCAGCGGTTTCAGTCAGCGTACACAGTGAGGAGTCTAGCAAGAGTTTAGCAAGAGTCTAGCAAGAATCTAGTACCGACGGAGTAGGCACGGGAATGCCTGGGGCACCCCTCGGGCAGACGGGGCCAATCCGCAGGCCCCAAAGATGTGAGTCACACCTGCTGACCGCGTTCACCGCCGCGCCTTGCCTCGATCCGGTTAGCGCGACAGGCGGAGATGATCCCCACCGCTGATTGGCTGCCGGTCCGGTCCACGGGCGCACACTCGAGTTTAAGAAGTGCCTGATTCCTCGTCGCTGCCTGGCGCTTCCTTTTCTCTTTCTTCTCTCTTCTTTGTCTCCTCCATCTTCATTATTCTCTCAACAACACTTCACCACTTATCACTATTCTGTCTCCCCCACTTCTCTCTAGATTAATCGCGGACAGCCGCCACCATACACGCTCAGATTGACCAGGACCTTGCATATCAGTTACTACTGCAAAATGGCCTTCTAAATCCGTCTAACGGAAAGAGCCCGTCTTTCTCCTCCGAGACAGACATCATAGATCCTTCACGGACCTCGTCTTCTATTTTCTCCCCTCTTCATTCTTCTTCAGAGTCTCCTGTCCCAGGACCTCTGAACTTCAGCAGCGCACCGCGTAGCTCAAGTTCCCCGAACACTATTTCTTCGTTCGACGTCACGTCGTTCAACACGGATAACCACCAGCAATCATGGCTTCCAACACCTCCGCCCCCACAGCCTTTGGCTCAGATTTCGAATTCCAACGTCAACAACAACAGCAGCTCCCCACAGGAGGACTTCGTTCTATATCCCCCTTGTCCTCAGCCTCGACCCAGGGACTCCTCTACTCCAGTACTCTCGAGTACAACCCCTAGATTAGCCGCCTACCATCCATTTCTGGTTCGTTCCGGGCACCTTCCTCAACGACAATCCTTCAGTTTGCAGCAGCAGCAACAGCAGCCGCAGCAGCCACGGCAATTTGCCAGTCCGCCAGTTCAGGTTCCTCGTGTGGCCAGACTTGCCTCGCAGTCTACCGGGTTCCCTCAGTCTTTGTCTCATCGGTCTAGTCCCTCCAGTCGGAAGCACCTCTTGCGTGTTCACGCCGCCTCCGTGGCTTCGAATTCTGCGCCGAATTCCGCCTCTTTGAATCGCCCACCCGTCCCTCTGTTCCACAGTCCCACCCATCTTTCGTATTATCAGAATCAGCAGTCGCACCCGACGCATCACCGTCGCATGATGTCTACGCCTAACATGGCCCACGGTAAGCTCGCGCTGTCCTTGGAGTTGGCTTCTTTGTTATCATCCCAGACCCAGACTAATTCTGTAGATCTTCCCGATCTCTTTGATTTCACAACCGACCAATTCGGGGCGGACTTCGACCTGTCCATGCTCTCCTCCCCCCAGCAAATTCCGACCGGCATCATGGCGTCCAAGGAGGCCATGGCAGATGCCCCGCCGGGGACCATCTCGCCCAAGGATTTGCTCATGGATGCTTCGGCTCCCTCGTCTACTTCTTTCACCGACCTCAGCACGCCCTCGTTCGAGTCGCCAGGATACTTCAGCCAAGATACCTCCCCCATGTTCGCAACCGACATGGAGTTGGCTCCTGGACATGAGGAGTGGGATTCTCTCTTCCCCACTCAGGACGCTTTCCCTGCGTTGCCCTTCGACTCAACGACCTTGGACGTGGCCCCCGCTGCCGTCTCCGAGCCTCAGGAGCAGGCCGAGGTGCCTATGCCTTCTCCTAAGACTCGGTCGCCTTCGACTGCTTCGTCGCCCTCTTCTAACCCAGCAACCAAGCTCTCCCACGTTGCTGGTGTGAATGCTCGTTCGCGCAAGCCCTTGCCGCCCATCAAGTTCGACTCGTGCGACCCTGTCGCCATGAAGCGAGCTCGTAACACCGAGGCTGCCCGAAAGTCTCGTGCTCGCAAGCTGGAGCGGCAAGATGTCATGGAGCGCCGCATTGCCCAGTTAGAAAAGTCTCTCGAGGAGGCTGAGCAGCGCGAGCAGTACTGGAAGGCTATGGCTCAAGCTCAGACCCAGGTTTGAGGTGAAAGAAGAAAAGCACAGAAATTACACAAAAATCCTGCAAAAAAAATTATAAAGTCGGGTTTGATTTGGCCTTGTGATAGCGTTGTGTCTCATGCTGTTTCTGTTTGATCTTTTGGTTATGGGATTGGTTCTGTGGTGGGCGGGGGTTTGGATGCCTCGCGTCACCCTCCCAATGTCAGCAGTTGCAGTCGGAATTCAGTAAAGGGTTCCACCGATGATGGCGCTGCTGACGGGATAAAAAGTTTTCCTTGTGTCTGGTCTCGATCTTCGGGCCACTGTTTCGTTAGTTATTCTGTTTCTACCACCGCCCCTGTTAACAAAGGGTGCATGTGTTTTCTATCATTTGTTTGTCAGTTGGCCGGTTCTGATGTCTCCTTTCGCAGGATTGACTCGTGGCCTTGATTGTATTTCTTTGGCTTGTTGGCTTGTTTATAATGGGTCATTAATATCGTGTTTTAATTATGTACTCCCAAATTGCTGAATATGATTATCATGTTGCTTGCCAAATATTTCTCCACCTCGTAACCTCCGTATGCAGAACCTGGAGATGGGTCGTGACTCGTGACATGAAATCAAATTAATGTCGAACTTGAAGCTGACAAGTTGACACTGATCAAGGATGCGATTATCAGATAACGATCAGTGATCACATGACGCGTTCGGTGGAGGGGCAGGACGCTGACTCAGCTCTGCCCCTCCGCACACCCAGCCGCTAAGCCTCATTAGGAAGACGACTGGTCTACGTCACCTCCCAAGAGGGCAAAGAGCGGCACCGATCAGTCCACAATCACAACCTGCTCGACCAAGCAGTCGTGGGCTCTTGTGCTCTTTATTGTGGCCCTCCCCCTTCCCCCTTTCCACTACCCTTCTTCCTCTGACCGCTACCGGCATTTCCTTGCCCAGCAGCATCCCAATTCCACGCTCTGGTCGCTTCCCATCCCCTCTCTTCGCACTCGTCCACCATGCGACAAAATACGTGCCACCTGCCCAATGGGCAGCTTTTCACCGTCACACCCGTGTTTGGTGGCGTCATGTTCAAGTCGCAGGATGCACACACCAGCAGCTCCATTCTGCCTCCGGGCTGGAACATCGTCCTCTCCACCAAATACCACGGCGACCAACCCGCCCAGGAAATGGAGGGAGAGGACCGAGAATCGGGTCGCTCCCAGGGCAAATTCACCTCCCCGACACTGCATGATGACAGTCTCTATCTGTCGTACATGATCAATCCCTCAGATAGTGACTACAAGCCACCCACCTCACCGACTCGTCAGATCGCGATGATGCTCTGGGTCACCCTGTGGTGGTACTTCCACGAACCGGAGCCCAATCCGCATATGCAAACGGAGGCGTCGGCAAACACGCCTGCGTTGGGTCGGCCGAAGGGGGACTGGCGCATCTACATCCGACGAGAGGGGATCTTCAAGGGTCGCAACCTGCTGCAGAAGCTGGAGCGAATGGGCATCATCAGCAGCGAGGCATCCTGCGTCGGCGCTGACCCGTCGGATCAAGACATCTGGGGCTCGATGTTTGTGAGCCGACGCTCCTTCTGGCAACTTGATCCCCGTCTGTTTCTCTTCACCCTCACTCCGCAGTCCTCGGCGCATACCTTTGCCCCCGTGCGCAACAGTATGTATCTAGCCGAGTCTCATGGTACCACAGGGGAGGCCCTAGCTCCGTACGCGCCCAGCGAGGGGCCGTATGCCTCCGGGAGCCATCTTCCGACGTATTTCCCTCCCCCGCCCACCCAGTACATCTTTACGAATGGAGTGCGGCATCCTGTCCGGCCCAAGCCGCCCCACCAGGGCGAGGTGTTCTACGTGCGGTACATCCCCAGCGTGCAGCAGTACCTGTCCTTCCGGGTGCCTTATCTGCCTTCGGCCAAGACGAGAGGCCTCCCGACCGCTGCGCCGCCCGGGGACAGTCCGTCCGACCTGGAGCTGTTGCACAAGTGGATGAATGACCCCCGGGTGAATGCGTCCTGGGGGGAGGGCGGTCCGATCGAAAAACAGGAGGAGTTTCTGCGTCACAACTTGAGCAGCCGGAACAGCTTCCCCGTGATTGGATGCTGGGACGGCAAGCCGTTTGGGTACTTTGAGATTTACTGGGTCAAGGAGGACCGTCTGGGCCCGCTCATTGGGGGAGCGGGCAACTACGATCGGGGCATCCACTTGCTAGTAGGCGAGCAAGAGTTCCGAGGCGCCCACCGAGTTGCCATCTGGCTTGATGCGTTGGTGCACTGGTGTTGGCTGGCCGATCTGCGCACGGAGACGGTCATGTTGGAACCCCGGGTGGATAACGTCAAGTGAGTCTGCGTTGGTGTGGGAGTAGATTGGGTCTGTTGAACGTTGCTAACCGGATTTTAGGGTCATTGAGTATCTCCAGCGATCAGGCTTCTACAAGGAAGGTGAGGTTACATTCCCGCATAAGCAGTCGGCCGTGATGAAGATCAAACGAGATTCGTGGGAGGCACCTGCCTCGTAAGAAAATGGGTGGTGGACTTTGTACATGACCTGACGTACTACCTACGGGGCAGCTGCGTCTTGTGTCATCTCACCTGTGTCTAATCCATGTCAATCGTACGTTGTGGCGGATTCGGCCGACTGGTCTAGATTGATGGTTACTTAGACGGTAGATTTGTGATATCAAGCGAGTCGTTCCTCTGTTCTTTCTTTCTTTTTTTTTTTTTCTCCCCATCCATCTTTCCTTTCTCTTCCTATACTCTTCGTTTTTATATATACCCCCTTCAAATCATTTCTTCGTGCCACATACTAGTCAGACTAGTCAGTCATCTCGACGAGCAGTCTCGCTGCAGTTTCCACAATGTAACCCACCTCCCATCATCCGGGGTGTGGGGAGGGGTTGCAGTCTGTGTGTCCGTCTCATAACGTCCCAAAATGGATTCTGTCTCAATATAATTCCACGGCTGTCTTGTGTATAGCCGACTTACTTTCTGTCTGCACTCTGTCACATTTTCTTTTTTTGTATGACCAGCAAAGAGTTCATATCCCTTCTGTGCTGCTGCTCGTCTAGCTTGTGATCTCGCTTCGCTTTTCTTTCTTTCTTTCTTTTTTCTTGCTAGCACACATGGACGGTATATACATACCGGATCATGTTTCGATTTCTTAACTATTCCTTCAAACACTCAACGAGATTGAACTTATACTTCATTCCTATCGGCGTCTATTTCCATTGATCTTGGAACCATGCTGTGCTTTATCTCATTGTTTGCGCTTTATTCCCTACCCTATCCCCATATGTCAATTGACGTGGGGGTGATGTGATGACCGACTATGTTTTCCCCTGTCATTGCTCGAATGAACGAGTGCCTTGCAAGATGGTAAGGCAATGAGTTCACCACAAGAATGACAATGTAGGGTCCTTCGGTATATGCGAATTGACACTGGAGAAGGCAGGGCTGTTGTATATTGCATCGTCCTCCAACCTGGCACTTAGATGTTCTCCTCCATGATATGGTCATGATGAGGTAAGTGTGGATGAGCATGATGAGGTGTCAGTTGATTGAGCAAGTTAGCTGACATCTTAGTTTAGGTATTCATCAGCTCAGGAACAAGGACTCGCAGTCGGGATCATACTCATGGATCTGTCCTGGGGGCTGCTGCCAAGCGCTATCGGGTGCCCTTTGTTGTTCAGGGTGAAGCACGCCTTGACTCATTGGACAGACGGCAACAAGCTTGTCCATGAAGCTGGTATCTGCCTCCACAGGGCTGAGTTCATTGACCAGGAAAAGTACAACCCACGTTACAGTGTTATGTGGCGATTTGTTACGGGAATCTTGGACCGCGTTCAATATCATCCGGGGTTTGATGTTTTTTTTTTTTTTTTTTTTTTTTTTTTTTTTTTTTTTTTTTTTTTTTTTTTTTTTTTTTTTTTTTTTTTTTTTTTTTTTTTTCCAAGAGCGGAAGAATACAATCTTGAGGGATGAACTGGAAGATGCACTTCGTCATGCTTACCTCGGTGCAGATGGCACAATTGATATTCTGTGGACATGCCTCTACACGCTTACCCTTTGTGCATGGACTGCGTGTGGACTGCCATTCACCCAAATATCCCAATAGCAATTACCCCTGTCGGCGTTGCAAACGTGTTTTTATTGCAACGTGGAACATTGTCAGAGAACGCACCAGCTGCAGGTCTTTGGTAGATTAGCCCAGGGTTTGCCTGTCCCGCTTCTCGAGATTCATACAAATACGAAGCATCCGTGCCCTCGATGATCCCGATCAGAAGATGCAACTATGGCTTCTTTGTCCTGGTATGTCGCTTCGTTTGATTTCCATGGGCGTGTGTCAGTCCGTCTCTTGATTCTCTTACCATTCCCTCGTTGTGGTCAACGGTTTGGAAATTGGCACGACGGCGATGGTGAACTCTGTGATTGCAACGCTAAGGAGGGATTGAAAATCATTTCCCAAATATTGGTGCGTTGTCGAGTTATTCAAGAAACGCTCGTTTCCAAACTCCGTGAAAGATTGGATCGCATTGATCCTTTACATTCGTCACTGCGAGGCTCGCGAGACAGAGAATAGAAGGATCCCCTTTACCAGTCCGACGGGGTGAAAGTCGGCAAGGCGATGGTCAATCCTGTGAGTTCAACACATTGGATTTCGTTTCCGAACTTGGTGAGAAATTACAGCCTAGCTCACTCCCAGAACCTGAAACCCACAGATAGAGTCACCCTTTACCTCAAAATCCGCAAGGTTCGCAAAACAAACCGTCAAGCAAGTCGCAGGTTTTGTCACAAGCGCGCTCAGGCTTTGATCGCGTGCCCCCGGTGTCGACACAAAAGGGGTCATATGTCAATGCGAATGAGTCCCTAGACATCTTTTGCCCGGACGATGACATCTGTCGGTTCGTATTCTACCCTAGATAAGGGGGGGGAAAAGACTTGACTTGATTCTTACTGACGACAAGACTTAGACGCGGGTTGTCGTAGCCACCAGCGTCTTGGCAGGGCATTTGATCGCCACTTTTCCAGTGATTAGACCGGGGGTTCTGTCGCCGGGGCAAGTCTTAACCTTTCAGAATCCACCTCAGCCCCCCCGCTTCGCTGCTTGAGTACGTCCAGAAGCTCAATGACATACTACTGCCCTTATCTTCAATAAGCCCCAAACCAAGGTACATTCCTCCACCAAGTATGCGAAACCCAGTCAATACCCATTCAATACCAAGCAGTTGCGCGCAGGCTTGAGCGACAACCAAGGGAGGGGGAGATACACCAGCCGTTTCGACTAGGAGGATCCCAGATACCGATCTAAGGGTTTTGGCGTTGGCTAAGAACAGTCAATGCTTCCTAAAATCCCAGATTAAAGTTTGAGATTGTTGCCATCGGAAGCCTACTATACGGTTCAGTGGATATATTTCTACCCCCATGTCGATCGAGTGTATTCGCAAAGGGAGGCAGGGCCTCGCAGGATGGCCAGGTGGCTCAGGACGACCTAGACTTCGATAGGTGACTCATCTATATCGACACCATCGCCCCCGGTGAAAAAGATCCGGAAGAATCGGTCATCTGGTGGAGAGCATTGTTCACAAGGGAAGATGGCAAATATGTCCTCGTCAACGATGACCTGCAGTGGAAGACCGTCATTATCTAGGCGATGGATGATAAAAAGGCGGGTGAATCGCCAAAAGACATTCAAAAGATATCTAAGAAATTTCCATTGGTACAAAATGCCAATGAGGTAGGAAACTCTTTCAGCGTATCATTCATTCAGTCCCCCCAATCTTCTCTTCTGACTTACTTGGAACGACACCATGGCTGTAATAAGTGTCCGTGTGCCTTGCCGCACTCAAAAGACAAGGCAGTCAGAGTTCTTGTTAAGAACCCGCAGGACGCAAAGTTATGTCTTGTCTTCAGATTGGGAAATAGACGACGCAACCGACGTAACAGCGTTAAGGCTGCTTGCTGCTTGGAATGCGTGGCATTTTCTTTGGTTCCCGGAGTTGAGCATCACTACACAATACCTTCCCAGGCCAATTTACAGGTGCGATACTACTCGATCAAACGCAAGCTATCTCGAAAAGGTTCACGGCTCCCCTCCAGTTGTTGGTGGGATCCATTATTATCACCTTTTGTTGGCCTGGTTGATTGGAAACTCTAGTACATATAGTACATGAGCTTTGAGCACACCATGCCCTCTGAATATCTTCAACCAGGCATGATTAGTCTAGAGTTGAGCAACGTGGTACTATGCACCAGGGAGGCGGCCCAGTCAACATTGAACCATCCCAAGTGACCTCGTATCATCTCGATCAATCACCATATGCCCCCATGTTCCAAAAGAGAGGCATTCAGCCATACAGTCATTTGCTGGTAGTTTACACTGCGCAGCAACAGCCCACGTTCCTTAACTCTGAGCATACCGTGCCATCTGCATATCCTCAAACCGTTATTGCGTTGCCTGGGCCCTATCCATGGTGCATAGTACCAGTCAAACTCGGTGGGATAGGAAGACATGGTATGCTGATTGAAGGGAAAGAGCGAGGCAAAGAGTGACTGCAAGAGATTTGGTATTGCAGGTTTGGGACTGAGAACTGAAGAATGCTGAAAACGACAAGTTGGGGATATCAAGCAGAACCTGGGCGTTTTTGTGTCAGTGAAGGAGATGGAGGAGAGAGACTTCCCCTGTTATGTTTGGAAACGGCCTTTTTTTTTTTTGGCGCGTTGCCAAGAGAGCTATCCAGAGAGCGAGTGGTCAGGTGGGATATCGTTCTAACAAATCCCAGTTATTATGAGTCTGTGAAAACAGAACAAGAGAATAATTGGCCCAAGTGCAATAGCATGATACAACCATGACATACTCATCAGCGATGGACTTCAACCTCTCTTTCAAGTGATCTCCGAGACCACAACTCATCGAACGATATCCATCTGCCTACGACTGTTTCTATTTCTTTTCGACGTCTTGATCTCATCGGATTTCATCAAGGAGTCCAGCCCGGCCCTGCAGACAGACCGGCCGATGTGAGAAGAAGCAAGCAGTTTCAACATGTCCAATAGTGAGTTACCCAACCACAATCAATCATTTTTACCTCCTGAAATTATATCTGACATAATTCGACGTTATCCATATGCAGACGATGTTAGACTCAGTGATGACAGTGGACGTCTTTACCGACCATGGTACATATGTATCTATCTGCCGATCAACCTGCCGCTCCCGATGCAGTATACGCCTGAATTAACTGGCATCGTCATTGCAGCGATGCAAGGCAAGCAAATTCCTACCATCGACATTCATTCTGAAGTTGAAGCATTTCCCTCATTTTTGGAGTCGCCATCACGGCCTTTCAATCCCACGATGAATAACAGCGATGCGACATTGCTACCCGACTGAACCGCAGGATCATTGGGGGATTCGCAATACTTCACAATGAATTCCCTGGTTAGGAATAGCGCCGATATTGCGATCATTTGATTGGGCGATGGAAAAACGATATGCGAGACATCGAAGCGTGGAACGACT